CATGATTCATGCGCATCCTCTCCGCATGCGGCCCGAGGCCGCCAACTACCTCAAGGAGCGGTCGCGCCAGAAGGAGCGCCAGTCAGCGCGCACCGCCGCCATGATGATTGTCAACAATAGCGTCTCGCAGGGCTGGGCGCTGGCGGGGCCGGCGGCGCCCCGTACACGAGGAACAATTTGCCTCGGCGGTGAGCACAGGCGAGCGAGCGAGTGAGGGTGTAAGCGAGCACCAGTGCAGTAATTTGAAAAAGGGGGAGAGAGACAAGAGACGGCGACAGCGACAGAGAAAGAGAGAGAGGCAGGCAGCGGCGACGAGAGGGAGTGTGCAGAGCGCGTTACTCGGGCATTTACATCTGATACCCCACCCCCTCCCCAACTTTATTCGAGTATGTTTTTCCATCAAGTCGGAGGGTTTCTCTTTTTGTGTTCTTGCTCCTTTCATGTTTCGGCCTCTTGGTTGAAGCGGTTGGTAAACTTTGGGTGACCTTGAGGCAGCAAACGAGTGAACAGGGGAAATCAGCGAGATGATTGTTAGCGAGAGTTTGATCACCAACTACATGCCTTGTGTTTCGTTGTTTTCTTTTGCCTTCCCGCGCATGATGTTAAAGTGAAGTGCATCGGTTCCCACAGGGTGTCAGATCTACTGTGGAAATACCACACTGACTAGGCAAAATGTGTGTCAACGGCGGAGCCTTTCTGGACGATATGCGAAGAAATTGACAACAGATAACCATATGCTGGAAAGTCAATTCCTTACTCGCGCTTGTGTCACTTTGAAACCGGCGATATAGGGCAGATCGTCTTAATAGAGTTCCCCGCAAGACAGTGCCCCACGGCAAGGGGAACCTCGGGGTCCGGGCAGCGTGGCAACCGCAGAGCACTCGGCGCGACATATCATGAGTCGGCTGGTGTTCGGCCGGTCGGCTGCCTCCCTCTCCCTCCGTGTCTTGTAGCATTGTCCCTCTGGACAGCAGGCCTGCCGAGTCCCGCTGGCTCTGCACGCTGCGGCTGCATACATGTACAAGCAAGAGCTGAACGGAAATAGAGAGGAGCGAATGGTTTACGTCGCATCCTTCACCCTGACACCCTCTGCACCCCCTTCCCCCGAAGGCCGTTGCGTCGTCCATCCCGCGCCGCCCGCCCCCTCCGAGTGCGTAGCGTCGCTCCACGTGGTAGCCGCGCCTCTGGCGCCGTGACATCGCTGCGAGGCCGAATGTGGATAGGAAACGGGCGGGTGGGCCGTTGTGTCGTGCTCTTTCAGGACTTGTGAAACGAGGTGGATTCTCTTGTTCGACAGTCCGTAGGCAGGTTAGTGGGGAAAGGTGGGGGTTGTCATTCCCAGTCAGTGGTGTCCCTCGGCGTTTCGGGAATTACTGCTTCGCTTGTATTCCAGGAGGAAGAAGAGGGGCACTTGCTTTGCCTTACTTTTTCCATAGTCAGGCGAGTGAGTTGATTGATGTGCAAACGTTCCTCAGCTCGGTCAGCGGCTGGCGAGTCAGGACCGTCGGTCATCAGCCCCCCTCCCTCGGATCCCCTCCGTCCCCTCCGTGAAGACGGAAAGGTGACCACACACCGCTGAAAAGGCAAACGAATGTTGTAGTCACGAGGGTCCCCCCCTAGTGCACAAAGTGAAATCATGGAGCGGAGAGGGCTCGAGGTGGACAACCATTGACGGTGATTGCCAACGTATTCAGACTTCAAGTGCAAGGCAAGAAGAGCATTGAATACCTGACTGCCTGCCGCGAGGCCCGAGGAGATTTGCGAAATATGACAACTTTTCACCAGCGGGTGAGACGTGCCGGGTAGGCGGGCAAGCGGACAGTCCAGATACACGCTTATTGCGGTGGCGACGTCGCTGACGTGGGGCCCTGTGGTGGTTTTTGCCGTCTCTCTCGACTGGCAGGTTCCGAGACCCGTTGTCGTAAATCAGGGTCCTGGCCTGGGTCCCGGAGCGTAGACAT